CCCCTAGATGGGGGCAGGTTACCGGGACCTCTCCATCATGAATGTCCCGAACCTCTTCTGAGGGTTCTGGAATTGGCCCCTGGGTGTTTCCCCTCTGTATGGGGACAGTCCAAGGTCGAGGAGGGGCTCGGCGTCCCGCAAGCACTGCCCTCAGTGATGTCGAGGCTGCTGACAGAGATGTGGGGAGCATGTGATGCCGAGGTGGGTCAGTGTGTCCTCCAGAAGCGCAGGAGGACATCGGAGCATGGACAGTTCCCGTTCCTCTGGTAGGGAACCCAGCAGCACGAGCTGCGAAGCTGCACAGGAGCCCAGAGCTTGGAGCTGAGGAGGACCTGGTGTCTGCTCGTCTTGGGGGATCCGACCTGTGCGCCGGCACAGTCTGTGGGGGCGTGACTACGTGTGGCCAGGGCTCATCTGAAGCCGTCGGTGTCACCAGGAAAGCTCAGGGCAGGTCTTAGGACAAAGAATTGAGCTCTGCTAGCACTGTGAAGCAGAGGGGACCCGGTGGTGTTTGTAAATGGGTGAGCACTAGGAACGAAGTTGTCTCAACTGTGCTGAGGTAGTGTGAGAAGAAAAAGGAGTAAACTGCTTGTGAGGGGTCAGCTGGGAAAGCGGATGCTGGCCGTGCAGCAAGGTTCAGTTGAGTTACCACGGAAGGTCCTTCCTGTCTGACCAAAACATCTCTCCTCTGAGGCTGGGGACTAGTTCAGTCTCATTCAGCTTGGAATTCTCTCCAGCGTGTCTTGCCCTAATCCAGGAACACCTGGAGAAACATCCCATGCAAGTCCACGCTGTAGCAGCCCAGATCAGGACCGACCGTAACTGTCCGGGAGGTTGACGGGACGGGAGCAGGGCCTGAGGCTGCAGGGCTGGGCACATTCAAGGGTGGAAGTAGAGTTTCAGAGGGGATGGGGACGCTGCTCCCTGCCTGCCTGGTGGAGGCAGCTGCTCAGTTCTGGAGAGCTGTTGGCAGCCTCTTCAGAGGGGGCTGCCCTGGAGGTTTCTTTTTTGTGGGGGGTCCATACGTGTGTTCTGCTCGTTGCTCTTGTGGCTGGGAGTTGTTCCCTTGCCGTAGCTCAGAGTGGTTCATGGCTGTGGTGGAGCTGGTTGCTGGGGGGTCAAGGTGGTCGTCTCCTCATTCACCAGCTTTGTGTGACTTGACTTTTGTTTTTAGCCATTTTGGCACCAGTGCCCTGTTGATACGTGGCAGGGTTGTCTTGTGGGTCTGTCCCTCTCCTAGAGCCCTGAGGTGGGGACTGGTTGCAGTGATCTCTGCACCTCTGGCTGTTCCTCAGACTGCTGTTACAGTTGCGTCAAATGCCGTAGATCTGATTTAAGTTGGGTGCTTTCAGGACTCACACTTGAGCAGGGAGTCCTTCCCAGCTTGTCTTCCAGTTCTGCAGCAGCTCCGGTCTCTGGGTTTGCTCTTGAAGAGCAGCACTGAGCTGCCTGAGTCAATCTGCAGCCAAGGAAATGACAGAGAAATGTGTCAGGGCAGGTAACCCAAGATGTGGGACTGATGAAGGGCTGACACAACTCTACTGTGCTGCCCCTTTGGGCACCGGAGGGCCCTAGGGTTGCGTGAGTTCCCTAGGATCTAGTTGGGATGGACTGCGGCTTTCTGCATCCTAAACATTCCTGACTTTCTTCTAGTGGCACCGGACACGATTAACAACCACGTGAAGACCTGTCGTGAGGAGCAGAAGAACCTGCACTTCTTTGCCCCAGAGTATGGAGGTACGGTGTGGCTCCAGCTGCGAGCCTGCTCTTTGTTGGCCTCACTCATGCTTCCAAGCTGTTCTGCATCTTGTTTTCAGCTCCGGGCCCCTGACAGATGTTACATTAATGGATTTGAATTATTTGCCTGCTTAAGTGCTTCAGCTCCTCTGTCTCTTGATAACAGAAGAGGGAGAGAAGGCTGCAGGGCTGTCATGGCCTGGTGCAGAGGTGGCCCTGCTGGATGCGGGGATGGACGAGTAATGGAGCATTATTTCTGTGTTACAGAAGTTGCCAATGTCACTACTGCTGTGGACATTTACTCCTTTGGGATGTGTGCGCTGGAGGTGAGTGTGGGACAGGCAACCATGAGGGCAGGAGGTGGCTCTGGAGATGCCGTGGTTATGGGTGGGTTCCCCTGGCAGCAAGTGCCTGTTGTTCTCCGTGCCAAGTGCACTTTGCCTGGGAGGGATCCCCGCTGAGGCTCCCCCAAACACACAGAGAACTGTGGAAACACACAACTTCTAGGAAGCAAAACTTGAGGTTAATCTGAGACGTTCTCTGGCATCCTTTGCGGGCCTTTCCTAGCCGGGACTTTGGGTCTGTGTTGGCTGGAGCCCATTCTGAATGCCATTGTGTGCTCGCCTTTGTGCCTCTAACACTGGGCTATTCATGCAGCCGGGGGGGACGCTGTCAGATTCTGGCACTGGTCCAGTTACTACTTCATTAGAGGATGGGAATTATGAAGCAGAAGTACAGGCCAATGCATCATGGGATTCAGAACGGAGATATTTACTGTCTAAGGTGACGCTGGCATGGTTTTCAGGTCTCCCTGGCAATTTGTTCGGGTGCTAGAAGCAAGCTCTCGTAATGAGGCGCTCGTTCTCTCTCTGCCTCCACAAGCCATGACCTTGAATAGCACCGGACAACTTGACCGTCACGATCTTGCGCTTGGCAGCACTCCCTCGAGCTCTGCCCGGTGCCACTGGTCATTCCGGGTGAGGTCCGATGCGCTGCTTTGTGTTCACAGATGGCGGTGCTGGAAATCCAGGGCAATGGCGAGTCGTCCTACGTTCCGCAGGAGGCCATCAACAGTGCCATCCAGCTGCTGGAGGACCCCCTGCAGAGGGTGAGCGAGGAAGGACCCAGGCCCCCTGCGGATGTGTGGGTGTTGTGCCCGGCCTCACACGGTTCCTGTCTTCCAGGAGTTCATCCAGAAGTGTCTAGAGCAGGACCCTGGCAAGCGCCCCACTGCCCGGGAGCTCCTGTTCCACCAGGCGCTGTTTGAGGTGCCGTCGCTGAAGCTGCTGGCCGCGCACTGCATCGTTGGGCATCAGCGTGAGTATGGAGACCCCGGGTGCCACATCTAAGCTGTGGTGCTGGTGCCGAGCTGGGACTGTCACGCTGCTCCCAGTGGACAGGACTGGGGCCTCATGAAACAGAAACCGCCCTACGCCCTCTGAACAGCGCCGAGTCAACAGCCCAAAGCCTTTGCTGCCTTTCCAAGATCAGAAAGGAATTGCAGTTGTTCTAACTTTTTTTTTCTTTGATAGATATGATTCCTGAAAACGCTTTAGAAGAAATGACCAAAAACCTTGACATGAGTGCGGTGTTGGCAGAGATTAATCATGAGGACAGAGAAGGAGTGAAGATGATGTGAGTACCCCGCAGTGTGCTCTGTCTGAGCAGGCTGTGAGGGAGCCACAGGGGATGAGCTTCTCACAGTCACTGCTGACACGCTGTGGTGCCTCTGTGGGCACAAGCACATCTGGGATCAGGTGCCCAGGGCCAGGTCGTGGTCACTGGTGAAATGTCTGATGCCATGGCCCGTGTGATGCACGTGTGCACAGCGGTCACCTGCAATGGTCCTGGGGCAGACCAGGGGGGCTGGAAATAATCGTCACCATGTGGAGGAATCGTGGGCTCCTGCAGGCGAGCAGGAAGCGCAGCGGGCACATGGCCGGTGGCAGCACAGAGCGGAGGGGTTGTCAGTGCTCGCTGCCCTCCCAGCCAGGAATGGAGTTAGAGGCTGAAGATGTAAAAACTATTTGGTAGGAAGACTTCCTGTGGGACACAGCATTAAAAAGCCACTGAGCTGACCAAGCAGTCTGGGAAAGAAATTAGAGAATATGAGTATTCTCAGCTCCAGTGAGGAGTGTTTACGCAGGGCGTTGAATCTGCGTTGGGCCGGACTAGGTGATCTTTTGAGGTCCCTTCCAATCCCTGACATTCTGTGATTCTGTGATCCTGAGGTGCAGCTTCCAGGCCCTGGCATGGAGCGATCGGGCTGATGGTGCTGTGCCCGCAGGCTCTGTGGTGCGAGCACCTGAGCTCTTCCAGAGACAGACATGGGCTCTAGGGCTCTGCTCTCACCCACTGGGCATGTGGTGGCAGCAGGCCAGCTCCCAAGTAACCCTCTGCAGCCGACAGCTCTCTGCAGGGAGGCGATACCTGTTCTGCCACAATTGAAATGTTGCCTCATCTTTGGCTTCTATGAACAGTTTCTTCCTGTGCAGGGAGGTCAGAGATGTCTGGTCCCATGTCTGTCCGCACCAGTCCTGCCCATGACACAGCCGTGGTCTGGGACAGGAGGGTTTGAAATCGCATCGAAAAAGCTTGAGTGGATGGTTCTGTTAAATGACTTCTTACCTCAGTACTTTTTTTTTTTTTCTCCCCAGTTTCTCTCAGTCTCCAGCGTTGGAGCTGGACAAGTTCCTGGAGGATGTCAGGTAAGAGGGTTTTCTTTAAAGGCCAACTTAAGCTGTGTGAGACTGGAAAAGCTTCAGAGAGATGTAACCTCAGACCCTACTCCCTTCTTGCAGGAACGGTATCTACCCCCTCACAGCTTTCGGGATGCCGCGACCTCAGCAGCCCCAGCAGGTCGTGGTGAAATCCCCCATTGCTCCACCGTCCGTGAAGACCCCGACTCCAGAGCCTGCTGAGGTGGAGACCCGCAAGGTGAGGGAAGGAAGGGAGCTCCCCCTGCCCTGGGGAGCCGCGCCACGTGGCCGCCGCTACGGGGCCCTGGACCTCCGTTGCAGGTGGTGCTGATGCAGTGCAACATCGAGTCAGTGGAGGAGGGCGTGAAGCACCACGTACGTTGCCATTGAGGGCCGGGGCGGGTACAGGGCAGGGCTGCAGAGCTGAGGTGTGACCCTCTGCTGCCACAGCTGCCAGCTTTGGGGGCCAGATCCAGCCCCCTGCCTGGGGCTGTCCGGGCACAGAGCAGAAGTTTTCCCCCACACCTGGACTCAGGCCTCCTCTGCTGGATGGGGCTGCC